CACACACACACACACACACACACACACACACACACACACACACACACCAGTTGGTGCTGTCGGTCTGAATGTTTTAAGTGGAATGGGGGAAAGGGTGGTGAGAGAGGAATCACACTGGAAGCGAAAATGTCCCAAACAGCAGGGGAGGATGCAGGGAGGATGCTGGATGTAGAGGGGGAAATAAATCACTGGTGCCGTCAAGAAAAAGAGAAGAAACAGGCCGACTAGAGGTTCTTACCTTCTCTGGGTACATGATGTCCCAGTGCACCGAGCTACAGCGGCGAGGTGGGCCCAGAGAAAGAGAGAGAGAGGGGGACAGGAGACGACGGGCAGGGACTGAGTGAACCACAGCGAGCAATGGAGTGAGGAGAGGAAGGGGGGGGGGGGGGGGGAGTGTGCAAATGAAATAGGTGATGTGCCCCCCCCCGTCATCACGGGCTGACAGGGAGAGCAGCTCTATGGACACTGGCGCGCAGAGAACTACAACTAACTAGGTAGAGAGAGAGAGAGGAAAGTCTCTCATCTGTCAAACTGTGTTCTTCAGTTACATGAACACTGCTGCAGTTTGGGCTCTCAAAGAAATCACGTGACAGGCTTTTCCACCTTAGATGCACGTCTGTGTTCTCGACAATTGTGTAGTTCGGGGAAGACCCGTAAATCTACGTGAAGGAAGTTAAACAGGTCATACTGCACTCTCTAAACTCTACTTTATACTGCTGTGACAACATATCACTCAAATAACTGGATTTATTCAGGTTACTCACCAAATAACACTAATTACACTTGAACTCATCATGATAACGTTATCATCTACCTTCGCCCAATACTGATTTTTCCCGAACAGATCATGAACAAATCACAGTGCAACTCAATGCAACCTCTGTTAACACCGTTATTTAGCCAAGCAGGAATGTGCTGTCCACTGGCTGCTAACAGCTAATGCTAACTAGCTCTGCTCCTGCCAATGTCAACACAGATTTGTTGTTAGCAATGTAGCGTTATCAGGGTAAAAAAATAGGCTGGACGAGTGTTCAACCACAGGTGTGCAGTGCTATTTTGCACATGTGCAGTCCCTGATCCAGCATTTCAGGCCGTATCGGAGGCATTTCTGATGCCGGTATCGGTATCACCGAACTGAATTGCCCTTTATATTCACTTCCTTTTGTGTATACGCATGTAACCCTTCTATCTATGACAGCTTTCTGTATTTTGGACTCTCTGGTTCTGTTTATTACCCAAAAAGGTCAGCGCTGTCAGGATGTACTTGGTCAATGGCGCAAATATGCTTTTAAAAATGTTTTCTATTCAAAGCCGACGCGCATTTACTCAAAGATTGCATGTGGCGCTTTACATGTCTAGTAGCACTATGGTGCTGTTTTTCTACAAGTTGCCCCACCCCCCCTTTTTATTGTTTTCTTGTGCACCAGGACTTGACGTGGTACTCATTCCGCACAAGGATATGCTGCAATGTGCCAGCAAAGGCAGTGAAGAAGACATGGATATAAACAATGCTGGGTTAAAAAAAAAAAAAAAAAAAAAAAAAAAAAAAAAAAAAAAAAAAAAAACAGCTTTGCAAAGGCTTTAAGAAGAAGAAAATGCATTCAACACATTTGTTACAGCTTAAAGATTAATTCTCAACAAGCTGATCCACTCATCACAGCGATTCCATTGAGATGAAGTGATTTCAGTCTGTAATGTACATGTTCTGTAGAAATGCTGGTGTGTCAGAGTCCTTCAACACACATATCTGGTAGTGATTAAATATTAGCTTCATTTCAGAAGGCCAGAGTAATCATTGCAGTTAGGAGGGGATTTGTGACCTGCCTGCTGCAGCATTAAGTCGCTGCTACTCCGACCGTTTCATCGGTATTGGAGTATCATATGATGATCTGATTCTGTTTCACTGTCCACTTTCAACCACATGCCAAGAATAGAATTCGGAGGTAAACACTGAATATTTCATTACATGTTGTTGGCATCGCTGGCTGCTTCAATCCAAAATTACTCGCCTCAGAAATCTAAGAAATCTACGCCTTGATCCTGGACGTTAACCATTTCACGTGGCTCACCTTCAGCCAGCACTTCATGGGAAGAATTAAAGGGTTAAATATGCTGCACCCTACACAACAGACATGAGTCTCCATACCCCCCCCCCCCCCGAGCCCGATTTGTCAACATCAGCTCTTGTGGTTTGTCTCGAAGGCTCAGCCCCTCGGATAGGGGAGGGGGTTTAATCCTCTTGTTGTGTCACAGAGGATCAGGATGGATGTGGGGAAGACAAGAATAAAAAAAAAATGGTGGTCACAGGTTGGACGAGGAGCTAGTTGGACCACATCTGACAACATGATTCAGAGAGACAGAGGAGAGGTGAATACGAGGCCGTCAAAGGAAGAGGAAGCAAAACAAAAACGAGAGACAAGAGCGAGAGCGAGCAGGAAAAAGTTGAAGAGAAACCAAAAGGCGCAGACAGAGGAAAGAGAAGAGAGGTAGCAGACTCTCACATGGATGCACAACTTGCTGGAGTTTAATATCAAATTACTGACAGGGTTCGGCGCTTCGCTTTGGAGGGGAAAGCGGGCGCTCATTGACTTAGCTTACTCGCCTGTTGCCTCACTGTGTGCGAGTGTGCAGGCACTGAGGCAGGAATGTCGAGCATGCACTGGAAAACAAGGGGGGGCCTCCTCTTCAGCCGGTCCGGGAGCAAGACTCTCGGCGCAGCTCCAGAATTACAGGGCACGGCACACGGGACCCGGTTGCACTTTACAGCACTGCTCACACTCGGTGGTATTTACTGGGCCATTATGTAATAGGAGCACGGACCTTCTAACTTCAAAGGGATCTCAGCTTATTTGGAAATTGCTCTGCAGCTAAATATTTTGTCCTCCGCGGGCAAAGAATGCATTTAGCACGACATGTAATTAGCTGGTTATTGCGGCGTTGGGATGTTCGGGAACAGGAGGTCGTTTCTGCCCTGTAAACTTAAGAGCTTTCCCGAGACGCTCAAGTGCGAGAGAAAGGCTCCCTCAACAGCCACCGCGCTGTCCTTCAAATTAACAATACACACATTCTGCGTCACGTGGGAGAAAACCCGCGTCACTGGACAATAAAGACCTGATTCACCGCCCCAAAATAGCAGCAGTTCATTCCACCAAACCTCTCTAGGAGTGTATACATATTCAAAGTGCCCTTAGGAGTCCCAGCCACGCCCACGCAGCAGTCTATTTCAACGCTCTGCTGGAGCGATCTCAGCCTTTGCTCTGTTGCACAAGTCCGCAAACACACAACTTGGCAAAAGACAAAGAGCACACGCATGAAAGAAAGGATGAGCGATCCATGGCGGCCTTGTAACGTCGCCCTCTCGAGTCTTTCGTCTCGCTCGTGGCGGCCGTCTGGTGTTTTTTCTCCGCATTTACCCAAAAATGACAACATATCTGTCTGGCCTCCTGTCCCCAGGTCTCTGCCGTCCCACATGGACTACCGTGGCTCTGTCAGGGCTCAGGGTCCTGGCACTTTGTCCCTGTCTAGCTGTGCCCACCCCCCCTCCTCCTCCTCGCCAGCTAGCAGGACGACCACACAGCAGGTTGAAGGCAGACAGACTCTGGCCTCCACTCAGCTGTTTCCTTTTGTTTTCCAAACCCTTCGAGGATCCGTGCGGATGCATTTACAAGCCGGTTATGTCATTGTGACAGCGGGCATCCTTAAAGCCGACCTCACCAGGACATTTTCTGTGAAACAGGAAAGGAAGGCAGCTTATTTTCGGGGGAGCGACTGATCCAGCTTGTAATCTCCGGGGAATTACTGGTTTTTATTATTAACACGGAGCGCCGCGCGTTAGTGCTACGAGGAGTTACTTAACAAGATAAATGTGTCTGGAGTTGTGAAAGAAAGGGCGGGGGTGGGTCCTCCTTGGTGGCTGATACCTTGTTTGGAGTGTGATGGTGTGAAAACGGTGAAGGCCTCTCAAGGTCTTTCTAATCAGAGCGTGAGTGAGTACAGGGCGGCCCTTCGCTGGCTCCGTGGACACGAAGCCACAGACGCAAACGCGTCCGGGGGCCCTCGCCACATCTTCCCCCCTCGGTGACACACACAGCTCAGAGAGAGACAACAATCTGGCCTCTCACACAATCCCACAGAGCAGCCTTCATCTGCTCATTAAGTCACTGCGCTTTGGCAAAGTAACGGGGGCCGTTACAAGTCGCGACTCTCCCCGCTCTAAAGAAGACGCGAGTATTCCCAAAGACTTAAAAATAACCGTCTTTGTGGCAACTGGGGATCTGTGTGGTCATGTTTTGCTGTTGAATTTGAAACTAGGCAACAAGGCAGCGTCTTAAAAAACCCGAACGGCCGCAGAGAAAGCCACTATGCCTGGGTGAAAAACAGCCTTCTAAATCATATGGTTTGCCACGTTCTTTCAAGGAAATAAACACTCTCCGCCACTGCCAGGTTCTTGAGAAGTGAGGAAAAGAGGTTTATTTTGCCAATACCTTAAGAGCATAGTGCTCTTAGAGGAGAGGGGGGGGGGAGGGGTAGTAACTAAGTAAGATTCAGGAGGACGGCTGTGTGACCACAAACCAAAGCAGCCTGTCGAGGTGCCGGGGAGAGCGGACCGTCGCGCTTCGCTGCAGCCCCTGAGATAAGCGAATTACACGCGGAGGGATGCAGAGGCGTTAACCGACACCCCGGGATCAGATCTAATCAATTAAGAGGGGGGCCAGCTGGCACTCGAGAGGAAGCATGTCAGCGACAAATCCCTCCTCACAGATCCATCCATATGCACATTCACTCACAGCTCAATGCATCTGTGGAGGGGAGGCTGAAGGTGGCCTGTCCTGGTGGATGGATAACGGGGAAGATGGCAACATGAATCTTTGTTTCATGACGTTATGAGGGAACTATTTGACGCATCAGGTTCAGTTTATTGTCACAAAGAGCCTCTGCTCAGCCCAGTTGTGCGCTCAGTCCTACTCTGAATTACTTACTGAATCTTGTTCACACTTACCCAATACTTTAATTTAGGGGATTCTCATTCATCTTTCTGTAGATACAGTTTTGTTAAAAAGACAACCGATGAATCAGATGTTCTTGGCTCTTGAATCTAGTATTCATTGATACGAGCACATACAACTCAACTTTCTTCAAAAATCTGATTAAACTCAGTTAAATCAAACGGTATTACTCTGTATGTCTGTGCATGTAAACGGTCAGTGTATGGCTTGTGTATTTGTTTCTCTGTAATTTCACTTATAACATTTATTTTGCACTACATTACTGTGGTCATTTCATATAGACTATTTATTTATTGACCTCACCTTAAACATGCTATATTGTGATATATATCATTATCAAGATATGAAATGACCCGCCCTACTCTCTCAGGCCCAGTTTGTCTGCACCCCTGCAATGACAGGAACCAGTGGAAGTAGGGGAGATAAAAGAAAGTGATGTTTTTTTAACACTTGCCTGGCAACAGGCCAAACAGGACAAACTAAAACAACATCGCAAAGAGCGAGGGAGTCAGTTCCACCTGCCCCGGCGACCACAGACGGCGCTGAGCTTGACGGGGAGTTTTAGGCTGAATCCTGTCTGCTGTCTGTTTCTTATCCGCCCCTCCAGCACGACTGTAGCCGAACAAAAAGACACCCCAAAGAGCTGCCCATGCAAATGTAAATGGCCGAGAGTGAAATGTGTTTATTTTGGCCCGTGCGATTTGACAAGCGTGAAATTAATTTTAAAAAAATGTCGGCAGAGGCGGGCGGTAACACGGAAAACAACCCTTTTCTCTCCTTGATTGGGGGGGGGGGGGGGGGGCTTTTGGAGGTCTGTCAATTCCGATCCATAAACCATTTAGTCGTCCCGCATGTGGGGGCTCTGAAGTTGTGAGCTGTGTTGGTGTGCTTCCATTCTTACTTATCTTTTCCCTCACGTGGCACATCACACATGGCATTCACACTAAGCGCAGTGGTCCCCACGGCGGGGCGACCGGGGGCTACAGACTGATCCTCAGCAGATATGACCTACTTTCCATTCAAGCCTGTCTCTCTTTGTTCACTCCGTGGTGGTGGTGGTGGAGGAAGGCTGCTGCAGCCTGTGGAACAAAGAACACAAGCAGCCTTCGAAACAAGCTGACCCTGCCTAGCTACAGGCGCCCCAAAAATGGCCCTGGGAAGAGCGGTGGCTCCTTTTTCTACTCTGATCTACCTCCGCTGCAGACGAGGGAGGATAAACCTGCAGCCCTCCATTCTCCTGGCTCTGAGTGATGAGACAGATATCACGGAGGGTGGGAGGAGGCCCGAGTTATCAACCTGGGGACTGCAGGGACAGTGGGAGGGAGAGGATTTATTGGCCGTTTTCATCAGGGGCGGACAGGAAGTTCGGTACCCTGCATAGCGCTTAGTCACTTGATACAGATACCAGACCCCTTGCAGAGATTATCTACCACAAAGCATTCGTTTTTGGTGTGATGATACCTTTGAACGCATTCTTGTAGCGCTACAAAACTACACGTCCAAGCAGTTGAGTTTGTGGCATTTCCTTGGACTAAATGTACCTGAAGACTCAATTACAGAACCCTCCATTTAACAGTGAAACTGGGAACACCCTGTTTAGTCTGTAATGACCCAAGTGCAACGGCCCACCCCCCAAAAAATATGCACATCTGTACAAGCCAGACGAAATACTCTTCAAGGGCAACAGAAGCATTTTAATAAGGACCTGCAACTGTTGCCACTTTCGTCAAATTTGGCAAATGAGGCACACAAATTGTTTGGAGGTAGAGCACTGTAGGGGCTGATGAATGAATGCAGCTCGGTAAGAGACGAAGAGAGAAGAGCGTGCAATCTCTATGCGTCCAATATGGCAGAATCTGATGGGGACAGGGGCGGTTATCTGCAGCCGACCGAAGAGGGGAAAAAATGAGCACATGGTGGGAAATGAATCGGGGAGAATGGAAGAAAGGAAAGGAATGCACAAAGAGGAACAAAACCATCGGTGCTCAAGAGAGCCTGTACTCCAAATTTCCTGTCTCCAAGGAGCTGCCATGCATTGACCGATTTGTGTGCAGATTATTCTCTTAAACTACTAAAGAATGCAAAGAATGCAGAAAGCAAAAGCTTACAAATGCATCAAATGAAGCAGATCCTTGTAGGATGCGATTTGTTTGCTTCTACACCTGCCATTTCGGCTGAACCATGCATGCTCTGATGAAGGTCCTTTAGACCGAAAGCTAAAAATAAAGCAGTCTCTGCATGATATCTATTCTACAAGGACGCCATTTCTAAAAGGATTTAAGTAGCACCTTACCTGCATGTGTTCTGTTGAGCTGCTGCTCAGCTCATCCCCAGACTCCGAGTCGTTATGGAGCTTGTTCAGCCGATCTCCCGGCAGGTCGCCTGGCGGGGAGGCCTTACCGCTGTCCGGACTTTTGTCGTGGTTGTTCACTTTGAGCGGGGGCGAGTCTGCCCGAGTCCTTGGCAACGTGGAATTGTTGGCGGGGTGATGGTTGTTGTTGTTGTGAAGAAGCACCAATTCGGCCACCACCTTGCAGTGGAGGGGACTCCCCACGTTATGGTTGGTGTCCTTGGACAGGACCGGCGGTGTGACGCGATCAGAGGATGGCGACGGGGTGGAGGAAGGCGACGGGCGCCCAAAGCTTGACATTTCCGGCTGGGGTCTGTTGAGGTTTTCGTTGGACACCCGGCAGATATCCAAGACGATGGGCTTGGCCCTCAAAGTGGGCTTCTGGGGGGGCATGAGAGCCCGGCGCACCTCCCGGACGTACTGCGCCGGCACGTAAAAGGCCTTCATGCCCTCCTCCTTCCTCACCTGCCACCAGTCCTCATTGGTCTTCTTCACCAGCATGTAGCACTCTCCCTGGCGGATGGCCACCATCTTGTCTTTGGCATTGTACTCATAGTCGTACTCCACCTCGATGTAGATCTGACCCGGGGCGATGGGCGGCCCCTCCCTGTCGGCCATGGCTGCCGGAACACGCACTTGAACTCTTACCTCAGCTGCTCAGCGACCCAGGCCCGGGGGACTCCTCATGTCTGACTTGGGGGCGGGGCGGGGGGGGGGGGGGGGGGGGGGGGGGGGGGGAGAGAGAGAAACTGCTGGGCTGTGGGAGACAAGACAGACTGTTAAATGTCACAAGCTTTATTTTTATTTTTTAAAGGCGCAAGACCTTCAGCAAGCTTCGACACATGCCCATTCACCCGCAGAAACCACATCAACATGCTTATATTTCATCCTACAAACCTCCCAGCAGGTCACACCCCGAAGTATTAGGGTCAATGACATGACATGCATATTTTTGTGTCCGAGTCCACCATTTCCTTTTAAAATAATTATATCAATTCGTGACATATATCATTTCATTCTATAAAACCTATCCAGTTTTGATACATTTTCAGTACAATCAAATAATATATATTATTTTATGTTTTGGCTTCTCATAGGGGCGACTGTGGCTAAGGGGATAGCAGGGCCGCCTTTCAATCAGAGGGCCGGCTCCGGCTCCGCTAGTCGCATGTCGATGTGTCCTTGAGCAAGACACTTAACCCCAAAATTGCTCCCGTAGTTGTGCCTACGGTGTAGAAATGTGATAGACTCTGAATTGTAAGTCGCTTTGGATAAAAGCGTCTGCTAAATGACTGTAATGTAATGTAATGTAATGAAAATGTCAGGCGGTGCACCTGTCCTAGCAGATGAACAGACTAAGAAAACTATTAAAAAAGGTATTTAAATGATAATAAATTCAAAATAAAATACTATGGCATGCTTTTATTGTTGTAACGATTCAAATAAACCAAATTTTTACAAATACCAATAGTTTTAAGCTGTTGCGATAATTTAAAAACTTTTGTCCAGCAATTTGAATGTTCTCAAATATCAGGGTGGCACAGCTGTAAAGATGGGACTTTTATTATGAAATGAAAGTGGAAAACAGGTTATTGCATCATCAAGCGGACCTCAACTGACCTTTATAGCGAAAACGTTTTTATATCTCTTTTGAATATTGATAAAAACAGCTACTTTCAACTTATAGGTAGAGTGGTTCACTTTCCATGTCAGGGCGGTACAACCAATGTAAAACTAGAAAAATGTTATTTTATCATAAATGTCTTTATTCTATTTAAAATGTATATGTATGAATTTGTTAGCAAGAACAAAAGCTAATGCTAGTGTCCTAGTAGATGCCTGTTTCATTTGAAATCAGTTGCAAATGTCAGGTGGTGCAACCAGTAAGGCAGGTGGTGCAACTGCAGAGAATGTCACTCTATGATATTATATTTAAAGCTCTAACATTATATAAAAAAAAAATTCTAAAGTTTAACAGTGTCAAGTTAACGGTATTATACACTTTCAAACTATTTTTCATGATATTAATGAATATTGTTTAACTATTAAGGATGCCACTGTGAAGTAAAGCAAAACCAGCAGGACGCAGGGAGCAGACAACAAGTCCTGTATGGAGTGTGTGCAAAACGCTGCTACAATGAGGTAGAAGCTGCAACACGCAGGCGGAAGCAACTGTGATTTTGCCTGTTCCAGTTATGTGCTAAACATGATTACTATGAAATATTTACTTCTTTTACTTAAAAAGAGTCTGTTAACTAAAAGCATGTTGTTGTATTTGAAAAAAAAAAAAAAAAATGCTAATTTTCTGCATTTTGCTGCGATTACTAATATTGTCAGGTGGCACAACTGATAAATGTCATGGTGGTGCGATCAGGTAAAATATTAATTTAAAGCAATGAATAATAGGTTAAAGTGATTTTTTTTTTTGCTTGATATGATGTGAAGAACTATTGTATTAAATGTATTCATTTGAATATTTGTATTGTTATGTTTCTATGTCAAATCAAAAGTTAAATATACTAAATACCTGGCCAAGAGAACGCAATTATGATAAATTATTGTATATATATATAAAACACAACCACAAAATACGATGTGTTAGACACAGTAGACACTCTAAGGCAGGGGTATCAAACTCATTTTCACCCCAGGCCACATCAGCATCATGGTTTCCCTCAAAGGGCCGGTTGTAACTGTAAGACTGTATAACTGTAACTACTCCTAACATATTGTTAAATAACTGTCTCTGCTTTTGATTATTGTTGATTCAAGTGTAAAAATATTGTACATGCAGTTATATAAATGTAAAATGATATTTAAGCACATTTCTGTTATTATAACATAAATCATTTTAATTTAGGGTTAAGAAACCCACATTACTCTGTCAAAGATCAAACTGTTGACGAAAATAACAGACAAATATCAAACACAAGTTATTACATTAACTTTGTTCAAAGCTATTTGTGTCACCTCTCTGCATCACTAATGTCCCTGCCGTCGTCCCGTGCATGGCAGCTACATCCAAGAGCTCCTCACAGAGTCAGGTCTGCCTTCAGCCTCTTACAAACACTGATAGATGATGTATCTCGTCTCTGAGCTAGCTGTGTTGTTAGATTGCTGCTAGTTCCTGAACTCGGTCTGCGATGGTGTTTCTTCACAAACTGACATTTGTAAAAGTCTGTATCTGGTCGGAGCTCACCTGCTCACATACCTTTAGCATGCACTGGGCTGTAGCTTCTGTAAATATATTCTGCTGTGATTGCAGTCTGCCTTTTAATTCTTGGACAATTTTATATTTTCCTTGGAGGCTAAATTTAGCTCCGTGTTTGGTGTCAAAATGCCGACGTGAATAGTATCCTTCATCACCGACACGCATCATAACACAGAAGACAGACCCGTTTTTCTCCCTGAAGCACAGACATGTATTCGCTTTCCCATCTTAAATTACATTTTCTTCCCTCTGCATCAATTTTTCTCTTCGTGGACTTTTTTTTTTTTTTGCTGGTGGATTCGCGGGCCACATAAAATTCGGCCCGCGGGCCTTGAGTTTGACACGTGTGCTCTAAGGGATACTTGTCAAAAACTTCAGTTTGAATAAATATTAGGAAAATATATATTTTTTTATAAATATGTGGTTGCGCCACCTGACATTTTTTAGCCTGTGAAGTTAAAAAATACTGTTAAAAACTATTTAAAATACTATGAAAAGTTGGTTCACAACTTAGACTTGTTTCACCACATTTTTCCAGACACAAAAATATGCATTACATCCATTTTGAAGATAATTTTTAAAATTACCTTTTTAGAAGCCTTATTTGTCAATGACCCATTTCTCACCCGATTACCCCAACCGCAAAGTGCTACTGCTGTAACACACTCATTATGACACGATCCCCCACCAGACAGTCATTGGTGAGTCGAATAAAGATCACCAAATGACTAACCCTCCCTGTGATCACCCAAAACCAAAACAGACAGTCAACCCTGAGTGCTCTGGTAAACGACACCACTGCTAAGGATATCCAGCCCGTAACCTGATCGCCCTCCGCAGAGCTGAAGCTGATGACAACGTGACCCCCAAGATCCTGCACGCAATCCACCGACTACAATGACTCCCCGGAGCTTGCACTCCGTCAGAGAATGCTTCCAAAAATAAAAGTGCGTGTCTTTTTGTGGAGTTTGGCATCATTACTCATTAATGCAGATGCAATTTAGAAACCTGTAAAAAGCTTTGAGTTATCCCGTGTCAGGGGACAGCTGTGGCCCTCGCCATTCCTGCAGGGTTTGTCCCAGAACGAGGCCTGTCATTGATCCGTCTTCCAGAGAGTCTCCCATCGCCGATTAGCCGAAATAAATACCGGGGCGCTCCCATGGCAGAAGAGCTGCTACCGAGCTCCCCTCATATCAAATTCTCCCTCTTCCTCCCTGAAATAGCTGCCGCCCCCGGCGCCACCGCCGTGGACTGACATCCTGGTGGTAAAAGCAGGTGCTTTTAATGAGGCGTTAGAACACACCGCTGAATCTATAAGGGGTCTGCCCTTAGGTAAAGGAATATGTACACAGGCTCTGGAGCTCAGACTGACAGCTACACACCCAGAATAGATCTACGGTGGCGAGAGCCGTCTGGGCCCATGAGAGATGGGCTGCTTATTCCTAATCGACTTAAACTGTTTCAACACCATGAAACACAGTGTTGCATCACACCAGGGCTTTTAGTGTGTGTGTGTGTGTGTGTGTGTGTGTGTGTGTGTGTGCCTGACAGCAGGCCAGTCCAAACCTGCCCCAATACCAGCTTCAGCCATGATGTAAACACACACACGCATGTCCAGCCCAAGCCTTTGTGAATGACTGTCTCTCAAGGATCCGTTACAGTCTGATTTAGTTTGTGTGGCGAGTTACAAGTCCTCGTGTAACGCCACACGATCACAATCTACAGCTCACACCATCCCCAGAGGTGCCAGAGATGTAGTCTGTCGGAGCTCCCGGTCACGCACACGATAGCGGCCCGCTATCACCGATACTGCATGAAGACTGCCGCGCTGGAGTAAATACAGGCCGTGTTTCCGGTGTGTTGAAGCTGTGTGCGCCGCATTCTAAAGATAAAGGTTAAAAACCTGCAGTAAGTGACATGACGCTGCCAGAGAGTGAGAATGTCACTCTGTTAAGTCCGTCCAAAGATAACTCTATCTGCAGCAACTGTCCTCTTCATATCGTTAGCATTCGGAGTTGGAGACACTTATCCAAAAAGATAAAGGCCCCCAAATATACACCAGTGTATGACCAAGCCACTCCACAGTCCCCACAGCACCAAAGAGCTGCTTACTAGACAGACAAAGCAAGCATGTGACATTAAATAATCAGCTGTGATGTAACTTTGATTGTCTCTCTGGAGATCGAGCGCGACATCACTCACCTTTTTACAAACACCATTTGAAACTGGCTACTCAAGCACAATACAGCAGAAATTTACAGCTACACTCCCCCTTCTGTCCCTCCCCCCTCCCTCTCTCTGAACTGCTGTGGCGTCTCGGGGTCCTGGCAGGAGGACACGAGAGAGTAAATTCTGCTGCAATAGAATGGCCTGTCGCCGCATGGTGTCAGGGTGAAGTGAAGTCTCCGGGGAGAGTGTGGGCCAACTTGTTGCGCTGCAGAGATTCAAAGGATGACGATCGTGTGTAGAAAAAAAAAAAAAAGGTTGGCAC